ATGACGCATGCGGGCGGTCCCACTGGCGTTTTCGGTGGAGCCGTCTTTGGGCCACGAAGCGCAGCGCTGGGTGGTGGATGACGCATGCGGGCGGTCCCACCGGGGCCTTCGGTGGAGCTCCCCACGGGGCCACGAAACACCGCACTGGGTGGTGGATGACGCACGCGGGCGGTCCCATTGGGGCCTTCGGTGGGGCCCTTTTGAGCCACGAAGCGAATTACTGGGTGGATGAAACGCAGGGACGAGAGAGGAGGGGGAGAGGGAGGAGGGGGAGGCGGAAGGAGGAGAACGCGGGGGCCGTCTCTTCAAAACGAGGGCCCAACACCACAGGATGGTGGGGAATCAGATCGTCAGAAACCAAAGGTACGGAAGCCTTCTGAAGAGAGCGGGCGGCCAGACATACCCGCCAACCCTTGACATCGCTCGGACACCCTTTCCCCGTAGTTTGTGCGTGTTCTGTTGTGCTTTCTGGCAATGATCCAAGGCCCAAAATTTCTGGCGCTGGCCTTGTCGAACGTAGCCTGGCGAAGGACCCAACCATATGCAGATGTGCATACTTCAATTCTGAATATCGTCTTCGCCCGCGCTCCCTATGGGGCCAGGAACCGTGTGAGGGGCGTGCCAACATGCGTGGCGGGGCACACAACGCGAACGAAAACGATAGGTCTGTGTGCGAGCGACTGAGAGCGAGTGAGTCTGATCGTGGATGAGTCTGCGCGTGCGTGAGCCTGCGTGCATTAATGTCGACGCCCATGTTGGCACGCCTCTCACGAGGATCGCGCCCGCTTCCTTCCCGTTGTTTTATCCCTCTTTGCCCGTGCCCGCCCACGTCCAAGGCTGCGGGCGCGGCGCCGTACGGACTCCCTGCGACGCGAGCTGGTCGCCCCGAAGGGGTCCCGGCGACGCGCGCGGGTCGTCCGCTGCGCCGAGCAGGGAGAACGAGCAGGCGGGCTCCCGCTCGGGATGAGCGGCCCGAGAGCGGCCTCAACACGTCGAGTATAACGAAAAACCACCGAAAATCGAACGTCGCCGCCACCGGAACTCCGCCACTGGGCCGCCATGCGAGTTCCGCCACGGAGACCTTAGGTGGAACTCCCTGTGGGGACACGAAGCGCACTACTAGGTGGAAGATGGCGCATGCGGGCGGTCCCACTGGGGTTTTCGGTGGAGCTCCCTTATGGGGCCACGAGACGCTGTACTGGATAGTGGATGACGCACGCGGGCGGTCCCACTGGGGCATTCGGTGGGGCCCCCTATGGGGCCACGAAGCGCTGTACTGGGTGGTGGATAACGCACGCGGGCGGTCCCACTGGAGCTTTCGGTGGAGCTCCCTATGGGGCCACGAAGCGCTGTACTGGGTGGTGGATGACGCATGCGGGCGGTCCCACTGGAGCCTTCGGTGGAGCTCCTCATGGGGCCACGAAGCGCTGTGTTTGGTGGTGGATGACGCATGCGGGCGGTCCCAGTGGAGCCTTCGGTGCAACCCTCTAGGGGGCCACGGCACGCTGTACTGTGTGGTGGATGACGCATGCGGGGGGTCTCACTGGGGTTTTCGTTGGAGCTCCCTTATGGGGCCACGAAGCGCTGTATTGGGTGGTGGATGACGCACGCGGGCGGTCCCAGTGGAGCCTTCGGTGGAGCCCTCTATGGGGCCACGAAACGCTGTACTGGGTGGTGGATGACGCATGCGGGCGGTCCCGCTGGAGCCTTCGGTGGAGGTCCCTATGGAGCTACGAAGCGCTGTACTGGGTGGTGGATGACGCATGCGGGCGGTCCCACTAGTGCTTTCGGTGGAGTTCCCTGTGGGGCCACGAAGCGATGTACTGGGTGGTGGATAACGCACGTGGGCGGTCCCAGTGGGGCGTTCGGTGGAGCTCCTTATGGGGCCACGAAGCGCTGTATTGGGTGGTGTATGACGCATGCGGGCGATCCCACTGGGGCCTTCGGTGGAGCTCCCTACGGGGCCACGAAGCGCTATACTGGGTGGTGGATGACGCACGTGGGCGGTCCCATTGGGGCCTTCGGTGCAGCACCCGTATGGGGCCACGAAGCGGTGTACCGGGTGGTGGATGACGCATGCGGGCGGTCCCACTGAGGCCTTCGGTGGGGCCCTCTATGGGGCAACGAAACGCTGCGCTGGGTGGTGGATGACGCATGTGGGCGGTCCCGCTAGAGTTTTCGGTGGAGGTCCCTATGGAGCTACAAAATTCGGCGTGCTGGGTGATGGATGACGCTTGCGGGCGGTCCCACTGGGGGCCACGAAACGCTGTGCTGGGTGGCGGATGACGCATGCGGGCGGTCCAACTGGGGCCTTCGGTGGAACCCTCTATGGGGCCACGAAGCGCTGTACTGGGTGGTGGATGACGCATGTGGGCGGTGCCACTGGAGCTTCCGTTGGAGCCCCGTATGGACCACGAAACGCTGCGCTGGGTGATGGATGACGCATGCGGGAGGTCCCACTGGAGCCTTCGGTGGAGCTCCCTATGGGGCCACGAAGCGCTGTACTGACTGAGCGAAACGAAGGGAGGAATGGGGAGGAAGGAGGAGGAGGGGGAGGAGGAGAGGAGGAGGAGGAGGGACGCGGGGCGCTGTCTCTGCAAAACGAAGACCCAACACCACAGGATGGCTAGGAAAAATTAGCCAGGCGAAGGGCCCAACCATATTCAGCTGTACGCACCGCGATCGCGAGTATAATCTTCGGTTGGGTTTGTCATGGGGGGGGGGCGCGAAATGTGAGGGTGTTTCCCTCTGTGGGCCACGAGGAGGCGCCTGCTCTGCAGCACGCCATGCAGGGCCCCGCAGCCCCGCAGGTCGCTCCACCCAGGTGGAGTTCCCTCTGGGGCCGCGAAGCGTTGTGCTGGGTGGGGGAGACGCATGCGAACACCGCCACTGGGGCCTTGGGTGTAACTCCCTGTGGGGCCACGAAACGCTGTCCTGGGCGGGGGAGACGCATGCGAACACCGCCACTGGGGCCTTAAGTCGAGCTCCCTGTGGGGCCACGAAACGCTTTCTTGGGTGGGGGAGACAAATGCGAACACCGCCGGTGGGACCTTCAGTGGAGCTCCGTGAGGGGCCACGAAACGTTGTCCTGGCTGGGGGAGACGCATGCGAACACCGCCAGTGGGGCCTCAAGTGGAGCTCCCTGTGGTGCCACGAAACGCTGTCCTGGGTGGGGAGATACATGCGAACACCGCCACTGGGGCCTCAAGTGGAGTTCCCTGTGGGGCCACGAAACGCTGTCCTGGGTGGGGGAGGCGCATGCGAACACAGCCACTGGGGCCGTAGGTGGAGCCCTCTGTTGGGCCACGAAACGCTGTCCTGGGTGGGGAGACGCATGCGAACACCGCCAGTAGGGCGTCAATTGGGCCTATCTGTGGGGCCACGAAACGTGGGGGAGACGCATGCGAAAACCGCCACCGGGGCCTTACGTGGAGCTCGATTTGGGGCCGCGAAACGCTGTCCTGGATGGGGGAGACGCGTGCGAACACCGCCACTGGGACCTTAGGTGGAGCTCCTTTTGGGGCCACGAAACCGTGTCCTGGGTGGGGGAGACGCATGCGAACACCGCCACTGGGACCTTAAGTAGAGCTCACAATGGGGCCACGAAGCGCCGCACTGGACGGGGGAGACACATGCGAACACCGCCACTGGGGCCTCAGGTGGAACTTCCTATGGGGCCAGCGAAACGCTGTCCTCGGCGAGGAAAACGTATGCGAATACCGCCACTAGGGCCTTAGGTGGGGCTCCCTGTGGGGCTGCGAAACCTTGTGCTGGGTGGGGGAGACGCATGCGACCACCGCCATTGAGGCCTTCGATGGGGCTCCGTGTGGGGCCACGAAACGTGTAAGTTGTGGCGAAATTGGTGGCGATGATGGTGACGATAACGGTAGTGATCACGTCGATTAGGATGATGATGATGATGATGATGATGATGATGATGATGATGATGATGATGATGATGATGATGATGATGATGATACTGTACTGATACTGATGCTGATGCTGATGCTGATGCTGCTGCTGATGATGATGATGATGATGATGATGATGATGACGATGACATGGCGATGACGATGATAATGATGCTGATGATGATGCTGATGATGACGACGACGAGGACATGCGCAGTGCAGAGGCAGGGATGGGAGGAGGGAGGAGGGGGAGGAAGGAAGGAAAGAAGAAGGGAGGAACGGGGGGCGCTGTGTCTTCAAAACGAGGACCCAGCACCACAGGATGCTTGGGAAAAATGCACACGCCCGAGAGATGCCAAGGACCTTCATCGGAGTGCCCCCCCCCCTGGTCGGCAGCTGCGGCCCGCGCTGCGCCCTCGAGAGGCTCCCCCCATCCGCCACCAGGTAACGCCCGTCACCGGCTCCGCCGCCCCCCCCCCACCCCCGCGTGGTCACGCCACGATTCGCGCTGGCGCCGTCTGGGAGCGAATCATTCTTCGGCATTTCCAGACGGCGGACGTGACCGGGCCCCTCCCCTGTTCCCCCGCGGTCACGCCCATCATCCCATGGGGATACAAAACGGCCTCCAGAACGTGGTGGCGTTTGTAAGGAAAGCATGCCCAAGAGGCTGCAGGCCTCAGTTGGTGGTCCAGCGGCGTCCAGACCTCCGATTCATCCTCTAACGGTGCCTCACCCAATGCCTCTACCGCAACGGCAGGCGTGCCTGGAACCTGCCCCCCCGCGCACCCCCGAAGCCAAAGAACAGAAGGGCACTCCGGCGGAGGGTCGCTCCTGCGTGCATGAAGGGGCCCAAGGACACACAAAAAAATACAAACGAATCCCAAGATCCCCTATATTCCCCTACATTTCCCGGGTCTTCGTCTCCCCCCATACACTTCCCATACTTTCCCACACTTTCCCGGGAATCGACGATTCCTTGTGTCTGTGTATTTCTTCTATTTCTTCTCCCCTCCTGAGTGTAGCCGACAGCGGCCAATGCCCAGCAGAGGAGCTCTTCTGGCGGCTGCCCGGAGGGGCGGGCGCGGGCGCCAATCGCAGCAGCTGGTGGTCCTTCGTCCGGGCGAGCAGCTCCGTGTTGTTGAGAGCCTCTCGCGGGGGCATGCAAGGGGGGGAGAGAGGGAGGAAGGGGGAGAGAGGGAGGGGGGGAGAGGGGAGGAAGGGGACCGAGAAAGGGACCGGGGGGGGACAGAGGGAGAGCATCGCAGGAACCGGGGGGGGAGAGAGGGAGGGAGGGGGGAGGGAAGGAGAAGGTAGGGGCCAGGAGGAGGAGGAGGAGGAGGAGGAGGAGGAGGAGGAGGAGGAGGAGGAGGAGGAGTGCCCCTGCGCACGGAAAACGACGCCAGGGGGGCGCATGCTGAGGCCCGCCCGCAGCTTCGCAGTGCCGGACGCAGCCGCCAGCCCCTGCTGCTACTTTGCAGCAGCGGAATGATAAAGTCTGCCTCCCATGTGCAGCAACAAAATGGTGATAGAGTCGGTGCACCGTGCTCACGTTGAGCTCTGCTGGCTTCGAGTTTCCTGGCGGGGTCCACAAGTTCGCCCATTGCCCGTTCACGTCTGCGCGTCTGTCCACCCACCCACTCATCCATCGCTTGCTCAGTCCGTCCGACTTCTCATCTTGCTGGGTTTCCTTCCGGTGCCCGATGCTTACAGCTATGCTTGCCATACGAAATCTCATTGTCGGTCGCCCCCCCCCCCCCCCGCAGGGATGGCGCCTCCGCATGCTTCATCAGCGAGGCGAAATAATACAGCACGATGAACTCCTGCCTTACCAGCATGCCGCTGGCCAACAGGTCGACGTCCGCCTTGCCCCAGACTCGATTGAGGAGGACAGGTGAGGGGACGGGTTGAGGATGAGGAATGGAATTTAATGGAATGGCATGGAATGGACCTATCGCGAAGCGATGAGAAACGACACCAAATCACCAGCTGAGGATACCTTAGCTTGGACGGGGCTGCTACTGAATCGGATGAGGATGAGGAATCAGGAGTGTTGAGGAGCAGTGACGGCGAGGAGCGTTGATGGGGAGGGCTGAGGAAGGTCGAGGGGGAGGGTCGAAGAAAACAGCTGCGGAGGAGGAGCGAGGAGGCGTGCTCAGGCAGGCTGAGAAGGAGAGGTGCTGGCAGTATTGCTCAGAGCGCCGAGCCGAAGGAAACGATGGGCTCTTGCGCCAGCGTGAATGCTGGGAACCATGGCGGTCTGGCGCAGGAGCGGTGACTCTCAAATTCACGGCGGACCTGCCATAAGAACCGAGAAAATGTCGAATGATGTAGCCCGGTGGACGGCGTGCTCGAGATCAGTCCAAAAGACATGGGGCCAGGATGCAGAAGAACACCCGCAGAGGAACGTGCATCAAATACACCTGTAAAAGGATGAAGAAAACAGGCATACACCTTTGGAAGTCCGCTCGGTTTCTTGGATCTGTGCTGACCCCCGTCCCTGGCGCGTGGAGCGCGCCAGGGGCGGCGCCCAAAGCGTCGCTAGGGGGTTCCAGCGCAGATCCAAGAAACCCACGCAGATCCAAGAATCCTCTTTTCCTTCTTCGAGAATGGGAGGCGGAAAAGGCAACACGAGGTCGGGCCTGCACGCGCAGAACAGGGTCCAGCACGAGGGCCACATGCTCGATCAGCAGCGGCAGGTCGATCAGCTGCAGGGTCTCGCGGTGCTGGAAGGCCCGCATGAGGAGGATCCCGAGGCACTCCTTGCGGGGCGGACGGGGCGCGACCCGTCAGCGACCCCGCGGGGGAAGTAGAGATGGGGGCAGGCCTTCTCGGGAGGTGGCGGGGCTTCTCAGAAGGCCTCGCGCCGCCCGAGACGCCGTGGCCTGGGAGAAGGCTCTCAAGGCTCAGCAGAAGACGTGAGGGCTTCTGGGAGGCCCCGCCACCTGAAGAGGTGGCACCGTCCCCTCTCACTCCCCGCCCGGGCTCGCCGCCGACCGGCAAGCGCGGACAGAGCAACATGCCACTCCTCTGAGACGAGCTCCCTCTCCGAGGTCGAACAACGTGGGGCGGGCCAGCAAGATCACGCCGCTCTGCCCACCCGTCCAAGCCCCCATCTTCTCTGACGTCTTCCCAGGCCCGTGCCCCCCGCTATCTTAGAGCATCAGGCTCGTCCTGGTCCTCCTACTTCGTCTCACCAACATCCTCATCGTAGTCGTCATCTTCCTCGTGAACACTGGCTTCAAAAGGTCGAAACGTCGTAACGAACCACACAATGACCCCAGACACATACACCTGTACAGGTGTACAATACATATATTTATGTGTACATGTGTGTACGTGTATATGTATGTGTTGATATATATATATATATATATATATCATTTTCCGAGCCGTACTGGGACGCCAGCAAAAATGACCCCTGGCCCCCTCTACGCGCCTGGCCAGGCTATATGACTGAGTGGCAATGGCACGATCTAGCATGCCACAAGATACGTCGCGCGATAATAGCATAACTGTGGGCGTCCAGCGTCGCCCGCTGAGAAATGCGGACTCCATGTTGCTCAGAGCGTGCAGCGTAAACTTGCAGAAGCCCCTGAGGCTCCGAAGGCCATAATGCCATCCAAATCTCAAGCGCACATTCTAGGAAGTGGATGGCCCGCAGCTGCGATCGGAGGTCCGCGCAGATCCATCGGGTCGGCGCTGAATCCACCACCCCCGACGCCCTTGGCTACACCTCCGACGCCGCCACCCCGGCGCGCTCCCCATGCCGGAGAATGGGTGTGGGCTGGGGGGGTCCAGCGCAGACCTGCGGATCTCCAACAAATTGTGCTTATGTAATTGATTGTCTGCGATACCTGCCACCCCTCTCCTCATACTGGTCGCACTTCTGCCGCAATTGCCGCTCGTCCCAGCCGCAACTGATCACGCCTTGCATGAGGTCGGCTTGCCTCGCGTGCGGGGATGCTGGCGACAGCCGCAGTCGGCTGGAGAAGGAGACTTCCCTGAGGACGCCAGGAGTAAGGTCCTTAGTGGTACTTGGGCGCTCCCAAAATCCGCGCGCAAGGCTGTGAAAGATCCTTCTGGACTGCCGTCTTGTGTTCTGTGTATGGTCTTTTGTTTCCGTGTCTCTTGTCTCTCCAGTCATGTCCCATTTATACTGTCTAAGGGGGAGCCCACGGCGCCAAGAAACGCCACTTGGAGGGGTATCTACGAAAAGGCTGGGTCTGATCAGTGGGACCCAACTTAGTGTCAGCAGTTCTGTGGATGCGAAGCGTTGCCACATACATTTTACCACAAAGCTCTTATTACGTAGCCTCCACCACATAGCTTCCACCATCGGAGTGCGACAACTCACTGTTTGTGGCTCCGGGACTGGCAGGAAACGACTCATGATGGAAAGAACCCCTTGGGGAGCCACCTCCATCCTGAAGCTGTTGCTCGGGGCAAGGCAAATCCCAGTCGAGACGTACATGCGACGAATGTGTGCGGCGCAAGGCAAATCCCATTTTGAAAATCCCCCCGTAGATCCATCCTCGAAGCTGTTGCTAACTTTTACGGCGAATGAACGCGGCGCTCAGGCGAAAGCCCCATTTTGAAAACGGCACCCCTCCATCCATGCACATGTCGCGAATTGAAAGTTTCATGGCCATCAACAGTGAGAAAGTCTCAAGCGAAACGCCCAGCCCGCCCTACACACACGTCTGTGGGCGCGACAGGGGGGAGTTGCTTGTAAGGAAAATTTGAATTCAAGAGGAGAAGGAGGAGGAGGAGAAGATTCCCGCAAACCACTCCAATGTGGCCCAGGAGGCCCCAAGATGACCCCAACAGGGTCACAGGATGGCTCAGTCTGGGGTGGCGGCGGCAGGGGGCGCAGCCGTGCAAGCAACACATGCGCACAGGAAGAAATATGGCCGACGCCAGTGGCGTTCGCAAAGCCGAACCCCAAGACCGGGGGACCTCGAGCATGCAGTCGGAACACTGTCCCGAGGTACCCGGAATAAAGAACGAGGCCCCTTGTTGTTCCGTAAATAAGACAAACTGTAAAACAATGTACTCCAGATTTCGTAATAAAAGGGAGGGGGTCTGGACCCTCCAAGACAAGCCATTTCAGACCTCCCCCCGTGGGAGAACCCTCCAAAACATCGTCCCCAGACCCCCCAGGCCCTCCAAGATAGCCTGGAAGAGACCCCCCCCCCCAAATGAGACCCTCCTCTCTTTATCACGAAATCTGGAGTAGGGGCACTGAGCCCCTCCCCAACGAAAAAGGATCCTCATTTAGCGGCCCAGCCGCACACGAGATGCTCCCTTGCCGTGGCTTCGGCCTCTGGGCGGCCTCGCCCTCGACGGGCCCCAGGGCGCTGTCAAGAAGACGGCCAACGACGCAGCACTGGCCCTGCAGGGATGTGGCCCCGACCTCCAGAGGTTCACGCGTCGAAAAACGCTGGAGCGCGGGATACGCCACACCAACAAACCTGGTGCATGTGTGTGACCTGTATACGCGAGCTATAACTACCTGTCGGCGGCTTCTGAACAACGGAGGAGCATGAGAAACCCACACAGTTACACAGGCCAAGCTGACATCTCTGATTCCGGACCTTCCGATTCAGAGGAGTATACCTCGGAACTGGAAACTTACCACTCTCCCGTGACCACAACTGATTGCCTTGCGAAGCGTTGACCAAATGGCGACGCGCGCCATTGCATGAGCCCATCTCGGACGTCCCGCGAATAACCTGGCACCATGTCTTACGAGGAGAGCCTGTCCCCGGGCTCCAGGGCTGGACAAGAAACCCGCCCGCCGCTGTTAACATCAAACCCCGTAGACAAGGTCTCGAACATGCCGATCCAGTCGGCATGTATAAGGACGGCCCCCCCATCACCAGCAAGTTGAAGCCTGTTCACCCTTCCCCTAGGGGGGACTGGCGAGCAACCAGAAAGGAGAATGCTGGCAAGACGATCAGGGTCAGCCTGTTTGTCACGTCGTAGTGCCACTTCTTATAATCGTGGATCATCCTGGCAAAGAACGTTTACCGTGCGGACTGGGAGAGACACCAGAGGGAGAGCGGTGAGCCCTGGGGAGGCTGGGTGAGCCTTCATGGAAGCCTCTTTAGACATCCACGGCCCTCTCATAAACGCGATGTCGATCGGATTTCGTCCAAATTTCGATCACCAATCTTCATCGTTTCGTCTAGCTTTCGTCCAAACGTCGACGAAATACAACGAAAACCGGACGAAATTCCCAACACCGCACGGGATCTTGGGACCCTCTGAGGCTCACATGGAAGACCGCACCAAGGGACACGACGATGCAAAGATGAGGGGCAAAAGGTCGATGTAAGGCGTGAGGGAGAAGTAGGGAGGGACGGGGATCATCGAAAGGGGGACGCGGAAGAGTTGGTGAAGTGAGGGGAGGTGGTGGGAAGTGGGGGGGGGGGAACTGGGGAGAGGGAGAGAGGATGGGGAGGAAGTGGCGGACGGGATGCAGGGAGGCCGGGAGGGAGGGAGGAGAGGGCAGATGCCGGAGGAACATCCTGGCATCCTGCACCTCCTCCTGCTTCCTCTCCTGTTCCTCCGCTCTCCCCGCCTCGTCCTCGTCGTTCCTCGCGCCACCTGGCGCGCCGACAGGGCGGTCTGCATGAGTCAAGGGACCCTGGGACACACAAATAAATACGTACAAATAAAAGGACTCTCCATATTTTCATATATTTTCTGGGTTTTCGTCTTCCCCCCCACTTCCAATATTTTCCTATATTTTTGGGGGATCGACAATTAATTGTGTCTGTGTGTGTGTGCTTTTTCACCTCCTGAATGAGACGCCCCCACGACCTGTGGTCCTGAAGCTGGACGCTTCCAGCAGCTGCAAGGACGGAGCACAGGCCATCTTCGAAATGTGGCCTCGCGTGGAATGGCACGCTGCGGCGTGGCAGAATGCCAGGTAGGTCTTGTGCACATGCTACCAGGGCCCGCCGCATTCTCGACAGGATTCGCCGTGGGCCCCCCCCCCCGTCTGCTCCCGAAGGATTCCGGCGGTTGCGTGATGCTTCCTTCCAGGGGCCCCTCCAAAGCTCCTCAATGCTTCCACCCCCCCATTGCCGGCTGCAAGAGCCACCAAAAGGACACCAAAAGGCCTCCAAGGCATCGAATAAGGCCAGGAGCCTTTCAGGAGAACCAGCCATAATCAAACATCAAGTAGCCTGGCGAAGGACCCAACCATATTCAGCTGTAGGTACCGCGATCGCGTGTATAATCTTCGGTGGGGGTTCTTATGGGGGGGGGGCGCGAAATGTGTGAGGGTGTCTCCCTCTGTGGGCCACGAGGCGGTGCCTGCTTTGCAGTACGCCATGCAGGGCTCCGCAGCTCCGCAGGTCGCTCCACCCAAATGGAGCTCTCTGTGAGCCGCGAACCGATGTCCTGGGTGGGGAGACGCATGCGAACACCGCCACTGGGGCCTCAAGTGGAGCTCCCTGTGGGGAGACGGAACACTGTGCTGGGTGGGGGACACGCATGCGAGCACCGCCACTGGGGCCTCAAGTGAAGCCCGATGTGGGGCCTCGAAACGCTGCCATGGGTGGATGAGGACGCATGTGAGCACCGCCATTCTGGCCTTAGGTGGAGCTCGATGTGGGGCCACGAGACGCTGTCATACGCTGTCCTGGATGGGGGAGACGCATGCGAACACCGCCACTGGGGCCTCAAGTGGAGCTCCCTGTGGGGCAGCGAAACGTTGTTCTGGATGGGGGAGACGAATGCGAACACCGCCACTGCGGCCTCAAATGGACCTCCCTATGGGGCCAGCGAAACGCTATGCAGGGTGGGGGAGACGCATGCGAGCACCGCCACTGGGGCCTCAAGTGGAGCTCGATGTGGGGCCACGAAACGCTGTCCTGGGTGGAGGGAGCGCATGTGCACACCGCCGTTCGGGCCTCAGGTGGAGCTCCCTGTAGGGCCACGAGACGCTGTCCTGGGTGGGGGGGGGCGCATGCGAACACCGCCACTCGGGGCTTAGGTGGAGCTCCCTGTGGGGCAGCGAAACCTTGTTCTGGATGGGGGAAACAAATGCGAACACCGCCATTGGGGCCTCAGGTGGAGCTCCCTACGGGGCCAACGAAACTTGTGTTGGGTGGGGGAGACGCATGCGAACACCGCCACTTGGGCCTCACGTGGAGCTCGATGTGGGGCCACGCAACGTTGTCGTGGGTGGAGGGGACGCATGTGAACACCGCCATTCGGGCCTTAGGTGGAGCTCGATGTGGGGCCCCGAGACGCTGTCCTGGGCGGGGGAGACGCATGCGAACACCGCCACTGGGGCCTCAGGTGGAGCTCCCTGTAGGGCCACGAAGCGCTCTGCTGGGAGGGGGGGGGGACGCGTGCGACCACCGCCACGGGGGCCTTGGGTGGAGCTCGATGTGGGGCCACGAAGCGCTGTCTTGGGTTGGGGAAACGCATGCGAACACCGCCACTGGGGCCTCAAATGCAGCTCGATGTGGGGCCGCGAAACGCTGTCCTGGGTGGGGGGGACGCATGCGCACTGGGGCCGCAGGTGGAGCTCCCTGTGGGGCCACGAAACGCTGTCCTGGGTGGGGGAGACGCATGCGAACACCGCCACTCGGGGCTTAGGTGGAGATCCCTGTGGGGCCAGACCGCGAAGCGTTGTTCTGGATGGGGGGGACGAGTGCGCACACCGCCAATGGGACCTTAGGTGGAGCTCCCTATGGGGCCAGCGAAACGCTGTGCTGGGTGGGGGGGGGGACGCATGCGAACACCGCCACTAGGGCCTTAGGTGGCCTTCCCTATGTGGCCGCGGGCCCTGTGATGGGTGGGGGAGACGCATGCGAACACCGCCATTGAGGCCTTCGATGGGGCTCCCTGTGGGGCCACGAAACGTGTATGGGGTGTGGCGAAATTGGTGGCGGTGATGGTGACGATAACGGTGGTGATCAGGACGTCGATGATGACTATGATGATGATAATGATGATGATGATGATGATGATGATGCTGATGCTGATACTGATGCTGACGATGATGATGATGATGATGATGATGATGATGATGATGATGATGATGATGACGATGACGATGACGATGATGATGATGATGATGATGATGACGATGACATGGCGATGACGATAATGATGATGCTGCTGATGATGGTGATGACGACGATGACGAGGCTATGCGAAGGGCAGGGGCAGGGATGGGAGGAGGGAGGAGGGTGAGGAGGAAGGAAAGAAGGAAGGAAGGAACGCGGGGGCGCTGTCTGTTCGAAAAAAGGACGGAAGGAAGGAAGGAAGGAAAGACGGAAGGAAGGAAGGAAGGAAGGACCCAACACCACAGGATGGTTGGGACAAATACAGGTAACAACAAGAAGTGGTTGCGCGGCCTGGGCTCCCCGGATCAACACGGTTCCCAGAGGGCCCCCGAGGAGCCGAAGAGAGGCAGACGAGCTCACCGATGGCCTCCAGAAGCCGTCCAAGACGGCCCAGTCAGCCCACGCTGAGGGCCCCTGGAGGAATGGAGACTAGAGGTGCCACGTGCATATTACGGCCTTCTGCGGAGGGAGAGAAAATGGCGACCACGACCAGGACCGAGCGCAGAAGCGTCGGTGTCGATGGCGTCGTTCATCTTGGTCGTCGTCAGCTCGTGGATCACATTCGCGAATCGGCAACGGCCGGCACACGCCATTAAAAAGATCGTCGTTGTCAAGATCCCGCTGCATTCTGGTCATGGCCAGCGTGCATATCCCACCGAGTCTGGGCGGTGCTCGACTCGTCTCCACACGGTGGCGCGCCAGCGTGCTGGCTTCAACTGTCCACGTGAACCCTGTTGGCCCAGCCCGCACGGGCCACGGGACGAGGGGGAGGGGGAGGGAGAGGGGGAGGGCAAGCTATGTGCGCTCGCGTCATATCTGACATCCTACCCCTCCCTCCCATCCCTTACCATGGCGCAGATCCCCTCTCTACTCGCACAGTCGGATGTCGAGCAGGGCAATGATCCCGAAAGGGTACGCGATGCATTGTAGAGCACGGCATGGCATGGCGTAGAAGAGCATCGCAAAGCATAGTATCAACCTAGCATGCCGTGGCATGGCACGGGAAATGACGCCAGCGCTGCAGCGGGAGCACACGAGTCGAAACGAGCGGAAGCGCGGAAATGAGGCCAACGCTGCAGCGGGAGCACGATTCGGAACGAGCGGAAGCACGGAAATGAGGCCAGCGCTGCAGCGGGAGCACGATTCGGAACGAGCGGGGCCCGAGAAATTGTGGAGGGGGAGGAGGAGGAGGAGGAGGACGCCCGCGACCACGAAGGGAGTGACCCAATTCACATGCAACAAAAACAAACGAGTTAGGAGGGGCCAAGGCAGCCGAAGAGGTCCTCCTCCTCCACGGGGAGTTCACCTCTGCAGCGCCTGGCCTCGACCTCGGCCCCTAGCTCCACGACTTCCGCCCTCGACAGGCCGAGCAGTGCGAGTCCTCGCACACGGTCTGCGGCGGGACCCCCGCCGCGCGAGGGCTGGGCCCCCCGAGCAACTCTCGGCGGGCGGTCGCGGCCCAGGGACCAGGCCTCGAAGTAGGGCCTCCACTCCGAGCGAACCTCAGGAGAGGGGGCCCCCGTGTACGCCATCGTGAGCCCTCGAGGATTCCGATGGGCAGGATACCGTCCAGCACGAAATCGGTCAAGGTAGAACCCCCGTCCCCACGACGCGACAGGACGACACCTCAACCGAAGATTCCCCCGTTTCGTGCTGGAATGTGCCATAGCACCACACGCCGTGCAGCACAGCATAGTATCGTGATACGTGCAGCCATCCGACTCATAAACCACGCCCTGTTCAAGGGAGTGTCCCAGCTGGAGCCAAGCTCCTGGGGTCGGGGGGTTCTCAGGAGGCGGCTCACCAGAGTTCGCACCAGGGGTGACGCCAGGGACCTCCCCCGCACCTGGCGCACCCAGAGGCACCTCGCACTCCGCACTTGGCTCACCCTCCCCAGGGTCCGAACCAGGAAGGGGGAGGCCA